GGTCATTGGTGGATTCCTGCAATGTCTCCGAAGCTCTACAAGCCTAGGGTGTTTTGACGAGGCCTTCACTGCCTTGGTTTCGTTCCTTGCTCTACGATGGGTGTTCATCACTCTTATCTGGTTATTGTTGAGTAGAGTCGGAGCTGCTTCGCTGTAGGGGTGCGACGAAGCTTGGCAATGATGACACAATGCAATCTCTTTATTGGATTATTGATGCTAGTTGTGAGTAGGATTGGTTCTTTAGTAGTTTAGGCTGATGTCCTTCGTGGGTATCATTTTTATTTGTTCATTTTGGCGTTGGAGTAGCATCGCAATGAAGTCGAAGCTGCTGTGGCGCTTGGGTGGCAAGCTCGGCAATGATAATATGTGTATGTTGTTGTGTCGTCTCTTTGGCAAGCTTGGACGACGTCTTGTGTCAGGCTCCGTCGCGGTAGTTTAGGTTAGGTTACTTGTTGGTGTGGTGTCGTAGTTGTGGTTTTCGCTTAGTTTTTCCTAATTACCTGAGCATTGTAAGGTTTGGTCCTATTTTCTTCTTAAAATAGAATATCTTCTTCTTAATATAAAACGTCGGCAACAGCCTGACCGTTTGAAAAAAAAAGACCATGTGCAGAGATAGCATCCTTTCAGTGTATACCATCTCTCTCGTCAAAGCATGGACATTGCTTGTAGGGCAATGCACATTGGACACAGCACTGTATTTGGATGCCATCTCATCACTATCGTGGAACATAAGTAATGTGCCAAAGCTACAGCAAAGTCTAATTGAACAGATGCTGAGCCATAATAATGAGATCCCCGGCTTGATCAGCGGTGGATTCATGAAGGCGTAGGTGGATAGGTGTGGCACGTAAATATCAGAGCAATTATTGCGAGCTTGTGATGTGTCCAATGGAGCAATGCTGAAGGTGTGAATGATATCTCAAGCTTACATTTTCCTAGATTTGGTGTCACATGACTAATTCGAGCTAAGGATTTTTTTTTTTTTAAAAAAAAAGTAGAAATTCTTGCCGATTTTAAGATATGGAGGATTGGAGGTTACATATTTTTTTGCAATTGCAACAAATCATCGCTGCAGCTAATAAGGGAGACTCCACCGACAGATACGGTTAACCTGGATGCAGACGGATTTGCAACGCATCCATGAGATTTATTTTGTTTAAGTATTGTTCGCACGTCTAGCAATTCCAGTGTTTGTCCTGTCCATGTATCATTAAAGACATTAAAGACGAGAATTAGCGCATCGATCTCGATTTCTGGGGGAGACCAAAATTTTGCCTGATTTTCTGCTGTTTGGCAGAGGGAAGAAGACAATATGTCTCACCTTTTCAGGAGTGTTTCTTTCCTTGGTGCACCCCGTATTTTGCTAAAGATGTTCACTATTTAATCAGGCAGATGATATTTGTTTCATCAAGCCGTTTAGTAGTACTAGATGACTAGAAGTGATTGCTTCTGAAATGAGGAGGTGACTATTAGGGACTACTAGCTTGTAGCCAAATGAAGGGTGTCCGAGTTTAAAGACGTCAATGGAAAATAGAACACCTCTGTTTATTTCTAGCAACTAAAAATGCACTAATTGATTAGATGCTTTAATGCTTATATTAAGATTCAGGCCTATGTGATAAAATGGAGGAAGATCCCATGGAACAGAGGAGAGAATTTGATACTATCGTCAATCACTCAATCTAGGAGCCTGGTCCATCTGGAAAAGGCGTAACGATCGAGTGTTAAACTGACGACAGTGAAACTTTTTTTTTTTTGGCGGGGTTTTGATTACGGCAGTGAAACTTGGTCGATATTACAAAGACAATGGGCGAAAGAAGCATAGCGGTTGGCGAACGTTGCAGTTCCGTAGCTACTTCTGTAGCCAGTGATAGCCCTAGGTTGCCTTATATGTTGCAAGAATCAAACTAGTGCAACAAGTTCCTTTCCCCCTGCTTTTTTTTTCCTGTTCCGTTGTAATTAGCAATCTTTACTTTCTTAATACAACAAAGATGCGTAAGTTTTTTTTCGTATTCCTGAAAAGAAAATGTAGTTCTTATATGAAGTTGCATGAAAATATATGAATATATAGATGAAGCCACAAAATGAAGTGTCTTAAACTCTTCTATATCATTGAGTTTGTCATATTTCAACAATTTACTATTGACTTTATCTTTTTCTACAATATACCAGCGACTTTATCAATTATTCTACAATACATTATTGGGCTGGGCTTATTTTTCAATAATATCTAAAATACCCTTATAGACATATAAGGTTAACAATTGATTTATACCATTGGAAGTTTTAAAAAATATATAAAAACTTGTATGTGGCATCCTTGCATAGTACAAAAGTTTGTATATAAGTTTTAATTTTTTTTTTCATTTCTATTTTTTAAAATAACTTATTTGTTGGTATATAAAATATTTTTTGTGTTGTTGTTTTTAATGTAAATTATTTTTCATATGCAACATAAGATATTTTTCTATTATCTTTTGTGTAAGCTATTTTTCTCTGATATACCATACAAAAATATTTTTTTTTCTAAGAAAAGACCAAAAAAATTGAAAATTATGTACATACTTCTTTGTTGTGTGAGGAGGCCATGTAAAAAAAATTCATATTTTTTCGATACTTTCTTATGAGATAAATTAAATATTAACCATTTATGTCTATAAGGATATTTTGGGTATTTTTTAGAAAGAGGCCTATCCCAATAGCGTATTGTAGAGCAATTGATAAAATCATGGGTATATATTGTAGAAAGAGAAAATATCAGTGGCAAATTGTTGAACTGGGATAAACTTAGTGGCATAGAATAGATTCTCTGTTAGGGAAAAGACTAATACGTAAGAACGATACAACCAGTTATCCATGGGAGTGTGCACAAACACAAAACACAAACATTTTAGTGATATATTGCTTGCGTCCTCGAGATGATTGTTACTTGCCAGATACATTTTAGTGATATATTACTTGTTCCGTGTTTAGTTGTTTTGGAAAAAAAAATTGACGTATACGAACACACATTTAAAATATTAAATATAGACTAATAACAAAACAAATTACAGATTCCGCCTGTAAACTACGAGACGAATCTATTAAGCTTAATTAATCCATCATTAGCAAATGTTTACTGTAGCACCATATTGTCAAATCATGATGTAATTAGGCTCAAAAGATTCGTCTCGTAATTTACATGCAAATCGTGCAATTGGTTTTTTCGTCCATATTTAATGTTTCATGTATGTGTCCAAACATTTGATTTGACGGAAAAGTTAGAAATTTGAAGGGAAGTAAACACAGCCTTGCATGATCGTTCTATACACCCGCGGAGCTGAGTTCTTTCCCACTTTTCCCAACTCACCTTTCTCGTTTTCCATGCGTACGCATTTCAAACTGCTAAACAATGTGTTTTTTGCAAAAAAAAAATTCTTTATGAAAGTTGTTTTAAAAAAATCATATTAATCCATTTTTTTTAAAAAAAAGTTTAGTTAATACATAATTAATCATGCAATAATACGTGGGCCGTTTTGCGTGCCGGGTGGAGGGTTTCCAACCTTTTATCTCGAACACAGCCTAACTAAGCTAGTGTTCTAGCCTCAAAAGGAGTATCTAAAATAAGTGCAGAGTAAATCGTATGTATCCTTTCCCGCCCAGCTAATACACCGTTTTGGTGATTTGACCTTGGAGTCACATGACGAACTGTAAGCGAGCTTAATAGGTGCACTTTAATTTTCAGCTATTCCAATAGTGCTACAATTCACATAGATCACACAATTAACGCCAAGATACCCACACCATGGACCCATCACATCTATAATAGCGAAGTGAAATAACCTTGTCGATCACCACATGTGAAAATGCCAAGCACACTGCTGCGAGGAAATCGACATACTCGTTGGGTTTCATGCATTATATTCTGAGTGATTATAAAAACGTGCTGGCAGCCCAGTAACAGTAGTAGCCGAGAGCACCATTTTTGTTTTCTCCTCGATCAATGAACGTCTTTCATCACCGACACAAAACACACAGCCGCCATCGATCCTCACGTGCCTCTACCACACAGATTGCCAGATTGGTGCTTGATTGTTAAGTATTATTATTACTGCGTGATAACGTGCGTACCACAAGGTTAATTAGGCTAAGAGCAAAGATAATAATAGCGCTCACTTCCTACTATTAATGTATCTTAAAGCCAACATATATAATGGATTAGCTATAAGGCTAGCTATAACTTTCTTCTTCTCTCTATCTCTCACCTATGCATTTAATGTATTTAATTAGAAGCTTGTGTTAAGCTAACTTTTACATTAGAGCCAACATCCTTGATTTTTTTTTATCGCTATTCTTCACGTAAGCTCACTATTATACTTGCTCTAATAGAGTAGTACTGCTAAGGCTAAGGCCCTGTTTAGATGGGACTAAAACTTTTAAGTCCCTATCACATCGGATGTTTGAAAATTAATTATAAATATTAAACGTAGACTATTAATAAAACCCATCCATAATCTTGGACTAATTTGCGAGACGAATCTAATGAGCCTAATTAATCCATGATTAGCCTATGTGATGCTACAGTAAACATTCTCTAATTATAGATTAATTAGGCTTAAAAAATTTGTCTCGTGAATTAGCTTTTATTTATGTAATTAGTTTTGTAAGTAGTCTATATTTAATACTCTAAATTAGTGTCTAAAGACAGGGACTAAAGTTAAGTCCCTGGATGTAAACACCACCTAAATACGACCTGCTCCACCGGGGGCCATCCCTGGTAAACAGCTAGAGAGTACTAAGCTATGTACAGTGATCCTGACCTACACGTACGTCAAACGTTTCAGACCACCACGGCGCCCCGACTGGACCAGCAGCGAACACAATGTGACCAGCGGCGAAACCCCCTCCCCCTCCCCCACATGCACGCCAATCCCCTCACCGCCACCACCATGCCGTGTCACATGCCCGCTTCCCCGGGCTACCATCCAAGCCTCCACCGTGTATATAATGCGGTGCCATGGGTAGAGCCATTCCACACACACTGACCTGCAAGCTCGCTGGGCAGCTTACACAGGGGAGTGAAGTAGAGTGAGTGTGAGAGAGAGTGAGTGAGAATGGGTGGCAAGGCCGCTCTCCTGATGGCCCTGGTGGCCATCAGCGTCGTCCTGGAGGCCAGGGCGGACGCCGGTGGCTACGGCGGCGGGTACACGCCGACGCCGACGCCGGTGAAACCGGCGCCGAAGCCGGAGAAGCCGCCCAAGGAGCACAAGCCGCCGCACCACCACGAGCCCAAGCCGGAGAAGCCACCCAAGGAGCACAAGCCACCGGCCTACACGCCGCCCAAGCCGACGCCCACCCCACCCACGTACACCCCGACACCCAAGCCTACGCCACCGCCATACACGCCCAAGCCGACGCCGCCGGCTCACACCCCTACTCCCCCGACGTACACGCCGACCCCCACTCCACCCAAGCCGACGCCTCCCACCTACAAGCCACAGCCCAAGCCGACGCCTGCGCCTTACACTCCCACTCCCACACCGCCAACATACAAGCCGCAGCCCAAGCCGACCCCGCCACCGACGTACAAGCCGCAGCCGAAGCCGACTCCCACCCCCTACACTCCCACTCCGACGCCGCCATCGTACAAGCCGCAGCCGAAGCCGACTCCCACCCCCTACACTCCCACTCCGACGCCGCCATCGTACAAGCCGCAGCCGAAGCCGACTCCCACCCCGTACACTCCCACTCCGACGCCGCCATCCTACAAGCCGCAGCCCAAGCCGAACCCGCCACCCACGTACAAGCCGCAGCCCAAGCCAAACCCGCCACCCACGTACAAGCCGGCGCCGCCAACCTACAAGCCGCAGCCTAAGCCGAACCCGCCACCCACGTACAAGCCGCAGCCTAAGCCGACTCCCACTCCCTACACTCCACCCACGTACAAGCCACAACCGAAGCCGACTCCCACTCCCACTCCCTACACTCCCACGCCCAAGCCGAACCCGCCGCCAACCTACAAGCCACAGCCCAAGCCGACTCCCACGCCGACGCCGTACAAGCCGCAGCCCAAGCCGACTCCTTCTCCCTACACCCCCAAGCCAACTCCGACGCCGCCGACCTACACACCGACGCCAACGCCGCCGTACCACAAGCCGCCGCCGTCCTACACCCCCGGCCCGCCGCCGCCCTACTAGTTGTGTTCCGCCACTCTCCGTCACGTTCCGACCAAAGGTATAGTACGCCCAACACTTCAGACGCTCACGGTTCAGTTTGCACATTTACTTATTTTCGGAAAGATTTTTGAGTCCGAACAAATTTAAATATAACTAATATTTTTACAATAAAAATTTCAGCATAGATTCACTTATCAACATAAAATTTTATATTGCTTATTAATTAACCTGCATGCATGGACGAACGGATATCTTGAATAAGTCTCTTAAAAGCGGGTGCTTAATGGCGTACTCTGTTTGTTTTCTGTCTTTGCAGGAGGTGACCGACCGACCAGAGTTGTGCGAGAGGCCAAAGAGGCTCTTCCTTCCGTGAAGATTGCTGTGCATGCCGAGCTGCGCTGCCTTTAATTACCTATAGCTAATTAATTAGCTAGGGCCAATGTTGCGAGGAGAATAATGCATGCTTGAGTGCCAATGTTGCTAGCTCGCTCCCTCTCTAGATGTGATGTGTATCATGTGTTGTGTGTTGCTCGAATTTGTACTGTCTAGCGTACGTCGATCCCGTGGTGATTTGTGGAGTATGGTATTGTTGTGTTACGGTATAACCAAAAATAACAGCGGAAATGGAAGTAAAAGCTGTTTTCGATCGTCCCAGCATTTCTTCTTTCCTCTATTCCTGTTCTTTCGCACCGTGCAACCACGAGAAATTGATGATTGCATGCATGTCAGAGAAGACTCTAAACTTTACTAGTACAAATTGTACTGATAATTAAACTCCACACAGTGACATATAGAGATTTCACTTGAAATAAATAGTACTTCCTCCGTTTTCGTATAACACCCGTTTCAAAGATATTTGATACTGTTTGATCATTCGTCTTATTCAAAAAATTTAAGTAATTATTTATTCTTTTCATATCATTTGATTTATTGTTAAATATATTTTTATATACACATAGTTTTATATATTTTATAAATATTTTTAATAAGACGAACGGTCGTGCTGCTACTGCGTCAAATATTTTAAAACGGAGGGAGTACTCCCCCAGAACGAGCCACAAGGGTACGACTATCACAATTGGTGACGCCATTATAAAAATGCAATAGTCTCTGCATTTGCAGGTGCAGCAGCATGCATGCATGCCTGAGCAGCCGTGAGCTGTCACGCGTTGCTACAGTCTCACTCGCCGCACAGCACACAGGTACAGCGACCGCCTCTGCATTTGCAGGAGGACGCCCATACGGCTGTGACATCAAAGCTAGCCTGCGCTCCAAAACTTCAGGACCAGAAACAATGTCTGTTTGCATCTCCATTTTCGACGCAGGCGCACACGTCGGTCCGATAGACTTTGGAGTGCAACAAGAACTCGAAAGACATAAGCAGAGTGTAATCAAGCATATGGTTTAGTGCTGAGTTTTTCATTTCATATAGCAAGGGCATGTTTATTTCGCGAAATAAAATTTTTTTTTGTCACATCGAATATTTGACTGTATATCGGAAGAGGTTTTCAAACACGAATGAAAAAACTAATTTTATAACTCGCCTGAAAACCACGAGACGAATCTTTTGAGCCTAATTAAGACGTCATTAGCACATGTAGATTACTGTAGCACTTATGGCTAATCATGGACTAATTAGACTCAAAAGAATCGTCGCGCGATTTCCTCCCTAACTGTGTAATTAGTTTTTCTTTTAATCTATATTTAATGCTTCATGCATGTATCAAAAGATTTAATGTGATGTTTTTGGGAAAAACTTTTGGAGAAATAAAGGGACCTAACAATAGCAACGTTAAGTGATGGAACATGATGAACAACGAGAAGAAAATCCACTGTGTCACTCTTGCGCAGTGGCGGATTTAGAAAGAAATAGTAGTTGGGTCTAAACAAATTAAATAGAGTTACAATGTCCCCACCCATCTATATATAATAAAAAAATTTAGCGGTATCTTCGTGGGGGCTCTCATAGTTTTCACGCCAGTAGTGGAGGCTCGAGACCCCGCCGCCCCCGTGCTAGATCTGAGAGTGAGAAATATATATGCACTCGCAAGCAAACTGAGAAGCTTGCAAGGACGTGTACTCTACACGATCAATCCTCCTTTGCAGTAGCAAACTGAGAAGCTTGCAAGAACAACGGATTGCAAGCTGGGCGATGAATTGGTGGAAGGTGGTGTGTGGTCACAGTGATGTTCGAAATCTGAAGCAATGAATTCGACGAAGGGGGAGAGAAAGCGTGCAAGGACATTGGTCGGTAGAATAAATTGGCTTGCAGTAAAAGAAGATCACGTGATGGCGCATGGCCGCATGGGAGAACTTATGGTCTTTTGATTCCAAAGGTTTCAAGCGCTTTGTTGTGAAAAGCTGAAAAGGTGAGGAGAACAAAGAAAATTTAGATCTGGTTTAGTTTCCAATTTTTTCTTCAAACTTTTAACTTTTTCATCGCATCAAAATTTTCCTACGCACACAAACTTTCAATTTTTCCGTCACATTGTTTCAATTTCAATCAAACTTCTAATTTTAGCGTAAACTAAGGCCGGGTTTAGTTACAAATTTTTTTCTTCAAACTTCCAACTTTTTCATCATATCAAAACTTTCCTACACACACAAACTTTCAACTTTTCCATCACATCATTTCAATTTCAATAAAAATTCTAATTTTGACGTGAGCTAAACATACCCTTAAAAAGATAGTCGTCATATTACTTCAAGGAGAATATACTACAGTAGTATATATAGGAGTAGTTTTATTTTAGATAATGAGTATATAGGAGTAGTAAATTATGGAAATGGTAAGATATAACCATGTTCAGTGTTCTACTTTTCAGTAGCCTCTCACAGGGTACACAAAAACAAGGAACCACCAACATTGTACTTGAGATGGTTAATACTCTAAAATCTAGATAAAACTTGGGAACAAAGAGAGGCACTAACATTTTCTTTTTGTTCTTTTGATAAAACTGGTGCGTAGCCATTGCACATGAAGCTCGTTTTATTACTACTACTACTACTGCTACTACTCAACTTGATTATAGAACTTGAATATAATGTTGGGTTGTTGTGATTATCTCCCGCGGTAATAATTTTTTTCCACTGAACGAGGCAGCGCAAGCCAGAATGCACATGTTCATGAGATAAGTGTCAGAGGGGATGGATTTAGTATTTGGAAAATAGCTTATGCCGATCTGAAAACTACTCAGATTTTCGCTCAGTGGTGGTGCACGTCGCTGGTCTTTTTTTCCCATTTCCTCGGTTCGTGGCTAGCAGCCTCTTGCCCTCTTCTAGTTCACACGAAACTGGTTAGTGCACTATTTTTCAATGTATCCTCCACATGGGTTTGTCGATGGATGTCAGATATCCCTGGAATAAACTTCAGAGAAAAAGTTATTTTTGCCTCCCCCATACCTCCTCTTTGGCATGGAAAGGCACACACGGGCAAAATAAGAGGGGTGAAAAAGGAATGCACAGATGCCAAAAATCCAGGTTTATGTCGCGGTGATGTTTACTAGTTGTACATGTTGAATTACAGGTGCATTTTAATTTTTCAACTGGTTTGGAGCATAAAATCTTACAAAACTTTCAATCAATTAATATAACCCTTTTTTGAATGAAATAAAAAGAAAGACAAAGATATTAGAAAAAAAATATAAATCTAAAAACAACAGTTGTAAAATCTAATTTTAATATACTGTAACCAAGTACAATGTAACCAAGTATAATTACTATGTAACTAACTGTAACTACAAGTCGAGTCTACATGAATACGAATGTTGATATAAAACCTTACGGACGAAAAACCGAAACCCAAAAAATCTATAGTAAGTGAAATAGCAACTTTATACTAAGTCAAAAACAAGATACATTAAAAAAAACAAAGACAGCGTGCTAGTAGAAAAATCATTGTACTAGTATATCATACTTCCTCTGTTAAAAAAACTAATCTATATATTCTAGTACGAGAGATGTGATATATTAGCTCATTTCTTTTCTTAGACTGAGGGTGTAGGTAAAAACATTGATTATGGGCTACTGCATTTCCATTGAGCAAGGGCCAAGGGGAAGAGGAGGGAACCTTGTGCCCGGGTGCGTGAGGACATGAGAATAACCTATAGGGTAGGTTTCAGTAATGGCGGTCTTAACCGGCCTGAAAATTTTTATCAATTCCTGCCTGGAGATAGATCTAATCCCATTTGAAAAATCCAAGGACGGGTTAGTGGTACAGTAGTTAAGTTTACTGGCGCAGTTTCTACCTCGTGAAGTTGTCATCACTCATCAGCTGCCCAGGCAATGCAATGCAGAACAGCTGGCTGAAGGTATGATGTTGATCCTTTCCTCCAAAAAGAAGAAAAAAAAATGAAAGCTCTAGTACAACAAATAACTACGGAGTACTATCATCATTGACCCACAGTGTGGAACTCAGTATGGATCAGAAGGATCCAGAGAAGCCAAAAAAACAACAAATGCTACGAGGGCTCCACATCACATTGACCACTTGAAGCGGCCTCTCTCTCTCTCACACACACATGTTGAAGCCCAACTAATGCTCACTACGAACAGAGCAATGGTTAGTGGCAGTAATTAAAGTGCAGTAACAGTATGTCAGTATCGCTATGCATCGTATCAAACAGCTTCACCTCCGTGGGCTCTGAGACGCGGGTAGCCGAGCACGGCCGCCACGAGCCAAAACTGGAGCGAAACACAGCTGCCGAACACGAACGCAAACTTGTAATCAGCGCCAATTTCTTCGATCTTCTTTACGAACGCGTAAAAAAAACACACACCAATATGCTATAGAAAAAAGTTTTAGTTACACAACACAATCAACCAGAACAACTTATATCAGAGAAAGGGAGAGAAAAAAAACTTAAACTTAGAAACTAGGGTGGCTAAACACGAACTACAAACAGCGAAAATGAGCCGAGCCACAGCTGCCCAATTTCTTCAGTCACCAGCGTCACTCACGTCCACGGACCACGGTCCGCCGCTGATGATGATAATGCCCGGCATTGCAGGGGAGATCGGGCAGCTGCAAGCAGCAGCAGGAGGAGGAGGATGATGAGCCGGGCCCAGGGTTTGACCAACCACGCATCGAGCAAACTGGCCGAGTGCCGACACCGCGCGCGGGACCGGACTACGTGGTCTCTCGTCTATCCAGAGCGCGGAACCAGCCGGCCGATGCGACGCAGTGACCGGGCGGGGCGGCGATTAAAGAAGGTTTCAGAGTACTAAATTATAATCGCAGATAAAATTATGGGTGCGATGCGGAGAATGAAGCGAGCTGAGCTGATCGACGATCTCACACGATCGGGTTAGGTGGCCACGGCGCCCAATCAGATTAGATGGGTCATATGGACGTACGCTGCAACTTGGGGATGGCCGGCCCCCTTTTCCCCTGTCCTTCACCTCCCTCTCTATACTTGCAGTTTCCTGTTCGGGTTTTAATGTTCCTCGTGTTCTTTTACGTGCGTGCGTCTAGGTTCATCCAGGGCAATCGATTCGAAAATCAATCATTGATGACCCGACAAGAGCTAATTATCAGATCGATCGATGATGGATGATGGGCATGGATGGCCGGATGGGAGATGGTTATCTATCACCAGTGACTACGTGCAGCGCGGTGGTGTGGCACTGTGGGGTACTCTACAATTCGACGTGTTTGGGCCTTATTTAGATTCTAACTTTTCTTTTCAAACTTTCAACTTTTTCGTCACATCGAATTTTTCTATACACACAAACTTTCAACTTTTCCGTAACATCGTTCTAATTTCTTCAAACTTTCATTTTTAACATGGAACTAAACATAGTCTTGGTCCGGTAAATTGTGAAGATGTGCTAAAGTCTCTGCTTGATTTGCTCGAATGGATCTCGATGGGCAAACTAGTTTTTGTGTTAGGAACGGCCTAAGCTAAGGAATCAATCTAAAGCTAAGAGCCTAACACGCATGCTGTTCCATGGATCTATTATTGGGGAAAACAAAAATGTTTCAGATCTCACTGTCATGAGAAGACCAGATCCATCCATCTAAAGCACCAAGCGTACCTACCTTTTTAGGTTGACCTTACCAGCGGATTAACGCCGTCGATCGATGCCGGTTTGGCCTAACCCATATCCTGTGTAGCTCACATGCCTCAAAGCGTAGCCGCTTAATAATGCAGTTTTTATCTTTTCCGTGATGGACAGTACGAAACAATAGAAAATGTTCTCTGAAGAGAACCAACCTGTCGAGTTGGCTATCATCATGCCTCCTGAATTTTGAAGTGTTTATCAGGATCAGAAAGAATTGCAGCTGTGCTTCATCAGGCCTCAGGTAAAGAACCAGCAATATCTTGTCCAAATCAATGCTGTTACAGTAAGTCCAAAATCCAGCAATTCAAGGTAGACCTGCCATAACATCAAAATGTACTCACAAAATGATCACAGTAACGGAATTTCATTTTTGAGTGAAATAACTATAAACTAAATGAAGAAGATGTGATTTCATTAGAGCCTGTAGTGCAAGGCTAGGAAAGAGCCAACCAATCAAGACAGGCCTGTAATGCAGGGCTAGGCAAGAGCCAGACAATCAAGACTGCTGATGATTACATTCCAAAATGACAGTATTACAGAAGTCAAATGTAAAACTTTCGTTGGATGCCAAACCATCATGTCGCAGTTCCAGCCTCCTCTGCCGCTAGTGTCTAGGGGTCTAGATTGATTTCTGCCAAACCGACGAAATTCATTTGTACCCATACTTTCCGTCCAGATAATTGTCCAGTCCAAAGACACGGACGTTGTTGAAGCCCACTAGTATCTCCTGTGGACTGTGGTTCGGTCCAAACACACCGCAGCCGCAAAGATCAATGCGTCCTTAAGGTCCAAACTAGCCCATTAAAGTGTCAGTTCAACTAAATTCAGCTAACGACGAGAGGACGCATCAAATCGAATAGATCAGTCAAGATATCCCATGATACTCTGTACTTCACTACTTGTGTACAGATATACAGCCGAAAGTGAAATAGTAGTAGGCACTCCGCTACCAGTGTTAACACTATAATGCAAGGTCTGATTTGAGTGTTCAGTAACAATCTATCTATAGCAGGTACTTTGTTCCACATCTTAATAGCAGTCATTTAGATGTACTTTTGAATGGAGCATATAGAATTCAAAGTTAGGTTGAGTGTGTTATCTAGCCATTTTATGTTAAAAATAGGTTGGAAACTTGAAATTCGAAGTGCCAGGATACCAAAGTCAGGTTGAAACTCGAAAGACCAAACTACTAGTACCAGCCAAGTCCAAGTACCAACAGCGTGAAATTTGGAGCTCCTTGCAACACGGCCCAGTCCTCCAAAGTCCAAAGCTCAAGATAATGGGTTTGGTAACATCGAACAAACGGGAGATTCAAACGCGCCACTATAAAAAGGCGCCAAATGGAGGAGATCACTCGAAGCAAGCCGAGCACTGCAGTGAAGCGATCGAGCCAAAGATGGCCGCCGCGAACCTCCACAAGTGCATCGCCCTCCTCGTCGTCGCTCTTGCGGCGGCGCTCTCGCCGTCTCACTGCACCGCCACCGCCACCGCCTCCCCGCCTCGCTACGCCTCCCCGCCGGTGGAAGCACCGGATGAGGAGGCTCCGGCTCCCTATGCCGCCGAGGCGCCATTGACGGGGCAACAAGGACCTGAGCACGGGAAGCATCACCACCACGAGTCGTCGTCGTCGTCGCCGCCGGCTGAACCGCCGTCGTCCTACAACGCGACGGAGCACAAGCACCACGGCCACCACCACCACCGCCGCCGCCACCACCACGGGGAAGCTCCACAGGCGCAGCCACCGGCTCACCGCTCGCCGCCGCCTCACCACTTGCCGCCGCCGCCCCCTGCTCACCCCTCGTCACCACCCCCGGCTCACGCCTCGCCGCCGCCTCATCACCTGCCGCCCCCTGCTCACGCCTCGCCACCGCCGCCGCCGCCGCCGTCCCGTTACCCGCCGCATTCCCCACCTCCTCCGGCGCACAAGTATCCACCGCCGCCGCCTCACGGCAAAGCAGCAGCAGCACCGCCGCCGCGCGGCCACAGGAAGCTCCCGCCGCCGTCTCCTCATTCGGTGAATTTGGCAATGGCGCCCTCGCCATCTTATTTCAGTGCTGATCCACCATCTAACTAATTAAGCAGAGCTGATCACATCAGCAGCTCTGATCGATCGGCGACGCTCAGAATGGAGCATCGCCACATTGCTATCTTTTGGAATCTTTGATATGCAAGGCCAAGATAAACACCTTAGCTAATTAAGTAAACTCGAGGTGAAATGAAACTGTTAGGCAAATAATCAAAAGCCCAGGAGCAACTTTCTGAGGGCGTTCGTGCTTTTTGTAACATTTTCTATCTTCCAAAATTTAACGAGAAAGTTACTGAGTAAAGTATGTGGTTGCTTTGAAATCATGGAGCTGACGTAATGTTGTTGCTTCGTTGTTTTGTGGAATGCAAGTTGCCATGTTCTGTGCTGGTGGCTGTGAATTGTGACACATGAACCATGCTTTATTCATGCTCATAAGTCATCACTATTACTTGTATGCCATTTACTATGTATTTTCACTGATGTATGTTGTAATATACATGTATGCAACAGTTTATTGGAAAAAACAGCGGCAGGCAAACGTTGAGATAAGTTCAAACATCTTAAAATGGGTATGCATCTGATGACAGTAAATTTCTATATTTATAAGTAAATTAATTAGGTCATAATTGCATCCTTACAAATCTTCATATATACGAAGGGCTACAGAACCATATTGGACCAAATTGTGTAGAATACCTTGCTATTAACAGATAAATTAATTACTGTAATACTAACTTATAGGAGCCCCAGCAGACTCACCAGTTTAGGCTTGTTAAGTGGGGCAAAGTGTCACGAACTCAGATTTGAGTCGGAACGAACTTTCTCCTGTGACTCGAATTGGAAGGGAAAGGAAGCTGGCTTGAGGAAGAAGAAGAACAGAGACACGAGAAAGCAGAGGAGCAGGAGGGAGATTAGAATTGAGTTTGAGGTTTCAGTTTGAATACAATATTTCATATCTCGCTCTCTCGCACCTGCCGACTATATAGCAATGCGCCATCTAGTCTCTCTCACTGACAGTGGCCCAGCCTTTCGCTACTGGGTCCACTCACTCGACGGGAAGCGTGTGTTGGGCCGCTTCATCCTTTGGATCGATCTTGCTGCTGGGCCGCTGTTGCCGTCTCAGGTTGAACGCCTTGCTCAGATGCCGCCGTGACATCCCCTCCTCCTTGAGTGGCAACTTGTCCCCAAGTTGTTGTAGTTGGAAAGCGACGACGTAGCTCCTGCTCATTCTCCCAGGTGACGGCGGCAGGTTCACCGCCAGACCACTTGATCAACACTTGTTCCACCATCTTGGATCCTTTGTGAACAAATCGACGATCCAGGACTTGAAGTGGTACCGGAGACGCCTCTGTTGTCGGACGAAGAACAGGAAGCCTGGGAGACGCTGTTTCACTTGGTGCCAAAGCTTGCTTCAATTGGGATACGTGCACCACTAGATGAATAAGGCTGGAGGAGGGTAACACCAAGCGATAGGCCACTTCCCCCACTCGCTCCAAAACCTGAAAGGGACCATAAAAACGGAAAGAGAGTTTGCGATTTACTCGACTGTTGTACGAAGGGCTGCAGCTTCATATACACCCAATCTCCCACAGCAAAAACTCGTTCAGAACGACGATTATCAGCCTGAAATTTCATCCGAGTCTGTGCACGCAGAAGATGCTCCCAAATCAGAGTTTGCATTTTCTCTCGCTCATGAAGCAATCAGCAAGCTCAGTAGACTGACAAGCTGTAGTAGCTGTCAACCCAAAATACCGAGGTTTGTGGCCATAGAGAACCTCAAAAGGAGTTGATCCCAAAGCGGAATGAAAGGATGTATTGTACCAGTATTCTGCTAAGGCGAGCCATTTACTCCAATGAGATGGACAAGCGTGCACAAAACAACGAAGAAAAGTTTCCAAGCACTGGTTCACATGTTCAGTTTGCCCGTCAGTTTGCGGATAATAAGAGGAACTCATCCTTAATTGAGTTACCGTGGAGCGAAGTCGAGGCCAAGCAAACAATTGTTTAACTCTGTGATAAGTAACATGAATGCCTGAATGCCCACCCACTGCAGTAGTATGAAGGTTTGCTAAAATTTTCTGTTGCACAGCTGTATTGGTACCAATCCATATACGATCCTTGAAATATAACACACCATTTCTCAGAGAAAAATTGGGTACAGCACTAGCACTGATGCATAAGGTCTGAACCTTGCTACACGCGTCAGGATCAAGTGAGTAACCAGACACCACTTCCTGAATCCAATCAGGCACAGCAACAGACAAGGCAGACAATTCCAAAGTGGCAGAAGAAGGGTACCTGGACAGAGCATCTGCTGCACCATTATCAGTGCCCTTCTTATAAATGATTTTGTACCGCAATCCCAGTAATTTAGTGAGAGCCTTGTGTTGCCAGGGAGTGGTCAGACGCTGATCATCTAGGAAAGAGAGACTGCGATGGTCCGTTCGAATGAAAAATTCAGCGTGTTGGAGATAAGGGCGCCAATGTTCAACAGCCAGCATAATGGCCAAGCTCTTCTTTTCATAAGTTGACAAGCCCTGATGGCGAGGTCCAAGAGCCTTACTGAGAAACGCGATTGGATGCTGATGTTGCATAAGAACAGCACCAATGCCTTTATCGGAAGCATCCGTCTCGACAATAAATGGTTCAGAAAAATTTGGCATGGCCAAGACAGGAGCAGTAATCAAGGCTTGTTTTAATGCTTGAAAGGCTGCCTCCGTTTCAGATGTCCAAATGTACAACTGACCCTTTCGCAGCAGATTAGTAAGTGGTTTACTTAAGATGCCATAGTGACAAACAAATTTGCGATAATACCCAGTTAACCCCAAAAAGCTACGCAATTCTTTGACTGAACCAGGCACCGGCCAATTCTGGACCACTCGAATCTTGTCGTCATCCGTCGACACACCATTAGGAGTGATGATATGCCCCAGATAGGAAAGACGTTGTTGAGCAAAAGAACACTTACTCTGTTTCACCTTGAGCTGATGCTTGACCAGAATTTGGAACAGTTGTCGCAGGTGGTTCACATGATCTTCCAAAGTTGCACTGTAAATGAGGATGTCATCGACAAATACCAGCACACATCTGCGAAGTAAAGGAGATAAGATGCTGTTCATTCCACCCTGAAAGGTGGCAGGTGCACTGGTCAAGCCGAATGGTATCACACGAAACTCATAATGGCCACTATGTGTTTTAAAGGCAGTTTTATGCTCATCTGACATCTTCATACGAATTTGATGATAGCCTGCCCTAAGATCGAGTTTGGTGAACCACTGTGCCCTCGACAACTCATCCAACAGCTCATCTATAATTGGCAGTGGGTACTTATTCTTCACAGTGATAGCATTTAGATGGCGGTAGTCCACACAAAACCGCCATGTCCCATCTTTTTTCTTAACCAATAGCACAGGAGAAGAAAATGGGCTGGAACTAGGTTGAATTATACCCTTGTCCAACATTTCCCTAACTTGCTGTTCAATCTCGTCTTTTTGAGCCGGTGTATACCGATAGGGGCGCACATTGACAGGCACTGCACCAGGGATAAGAGGGATTGTATGATCAAAAGATTGAGTTGGAGGTAAACCCATTGGTTCATCAAAGACAGAAGCAAATTCTTGAAGAACATGTTGAATCTTGACAGGAATTTGTTCTGAAGATTCTTTGTCATCCAAAGAACATAGCTGAACAAAATGAGCAACTGCTCTCCTGTCATCGAACTCTTTCAGTTGTTGAGTGGATATCATTTGGCACTGTTGCAATTCTGGCACAATTCCTTGAAGAGTGACAGATTTTCCCTGCCAACAGATAACCAAGGACTTTTGTACCCAATCTACTGACATTGGACTGCACTGCATTAACCAATCCATTCCAAGAATTGCATCATAATTGGTTAAGGCCAGAATCTTAAAGGTGGTGTAGAATACATGCCCTTGAGTCGTCCAAACACAATCAGGTAACTCAGCTGTACAAGACAAAACAGCTCCATTGGCCATCTTTACCTGTGTTGTAGCAAGAACTAACTGTACCCCTGACAACTGATCTGCCACCTTGGAACTGAGAAAACTAGTTGTGCTGCCTGAATCCACCAGTATTAGTACCTCCTTACCCTAGATATAACCCGAAATCCTCATTGAACCCACATGTTCTGCCCCTTGTATTGCCTGAACTGATACAACCATTACCACTTGTTCTTCAGACGTAATCAATTCAGCCGATTCAGAAAAGGAACTCTCTCCAATTGCATCTAAAACAGAGAATAATTCCTGAACTGCGTATAGCTGGACAAGAGTTTGCGCATCTATGAGTCGGAGACCACTTTTCAGCACAAATGTAACATAACCCCTGAGCTCGCCTTTGCGCCTTTAGAGCAACCATCTTGTTAGAACCCCCAACTGGCCGACCACCATCAATTCCCTTTTTGTCATCGACCTTTCCAACTGCAGATAGAACTCCTTTGCCTGGTGGTAGAGGAAGTGGCAAAGCCCCTTTTAATACTGAATTAGAGCGAATGTGCATTCCTCCTTTAGAGTCCTTCACACCAGACTCCGGTGGAGCTTCCAGCACTTCCTCCTGCAAAGACACAATAGCCAGAGCAGACTCCAAATCGTGGAGACGTTGTAACAATACTGCATTTCTAATCTCTCGACGCAATCCTTCAGTAAAGCGATGCACTAGATACTTTTTGCTAATGACAGGATCATAGGACAACAATTGGTTCATCAACTCATCAAATTTCTCATAGTATTCCCAAACTGTTCTCGACTGTCTAATTGTATCCATTTGCCTAATCAACACATCATGCTGATCCCTATCAAACTTAGTGGAAACTGCTATGCAAAAATCATCCCAAACAGGAAACCGCACATGAGCCCTAGACGAACGTAACCAGGATGCTGCTCTTCCATAGAAATAGATGGTGGCTACACGAACCCACAACCCTGGATAAGTATTGTTCACATCAAAATAGTGCTCGCATCTCATCCTCCAATCCTGAGGGTCCGTACCATCGAATTTTGGGAAATCTAGTTTAGGAACTCTATGATTATACTGTCTACCGCCTTGTTCAAAACCAAACTCCCCAACCTCTGAATCAGATTTGAAATTCTCCAACGAATGCAAAGGAACTGAAGGAGATTCAAACGTACCCTTGTCCGGAGTTGGGATCAGAGTGGTTACCACTCCAGATGCCCTCCTCCGGAAATTCTGTTGAGCGCCGTGGCCATGGGCCCAATTGCTTCCGCCTTCCGCCGCGACTTGATGTGAAGAGGTCGTCGGCGTAGGCAGCAACAGCGCCTTCCTTTCCTCGTCCGTCGACGGAACCCGAGGGGAAAGCGTCGTCGGTGAAGCTTGCTTCGGTTTGCCGAGGAGATCCAGCTGTTGACGAAGTTTGCCAACCTCGTCGTGCAAATCCTGAATCGCCGATTCCACTTGAGGCCGCCATCCTCCGACTCCTGCATCCAGCTTCGCCACGGTTGCTGCGTCTCCGCTTGCTTGTCGTTCAACGACTTCAGCGAATCCTGGATGTCGCCGAGAATTTTGCCGAAGTCGAGGTTCTGCTTCTCCATGGCCTCAACCTGCGATTGCAAATGGGACGTGTACCTTGGCTTCTCCAGGATCGATGCTCTGATACCAAATGTCACGAACTCAGATTTGAGTCACAACGAACTTTCTCCTGTGACTCGAATTGGAAGGGAAAAGAAGCTGGCTTGAGGAAGAAGAAGAACAGAGACACGAGAAGCAGAGGAGCAGGAGGGAGATTGGAATTGAGTTTGAGGTTTCAGTTTGAATACAATATTTCATATCCCGCTCTCTCGCACCTGCCAACTATATAGCAATGCTCCATCTAGTCTCTCTCACTGACAGTGGCCCAGCCTTTCGCTACTGGGTCCACTCACTCAACGGGAAGCGTGTGTTGGGCCGCTTCATCCTTTTGGTTCGATCTTGCTGCTGGGCCGCTGTTGCCGTCTCAGGTTGAATGCCTTGCTCAGATGCCGCCGTGACACAAAGGAAACATGGAAAAACAAAGCTATCATCTTGCAACACTGCAACTTGAAAATAGCTAGGAAAAGGAATAGCAGATACAACTCACCCAGTATCAGATTGCAGCAACACTGCAACAGAAAACTGCATAAGGTTCACCAGGCCAAATCTGCAACAGAAATTTGCTCGGCTCATTAATCCTATTAAAAAAAGCATACAAAAGCCCTAGAAATGGAGAATCTTATGTGCAACATATCATATACGATGAACTTAGGCATAGGCTGTTGCAGATATACAAACTCCATGATAACAAGCATAAACAATATTTTGAACCAAATCAACCAGTGACTGATCGACTGCTATACATTAACAACGACTTTTGTTTAAGTTGCATGAACGATATGTTGAGGTGATGTGAGGTCATTGATCGATCTCGCAGTTGTGCATCGTGAACCAAAGGTACTATCTCCATGTTTATGACTAGTACATCTGTACGCGCAGAGTAATTGCAATACAATCCATCATCCATGGCATGGTTGCATGAATTTTAAAGAGTCATACAAACCCTATATAGAGGCAGATTGAATGCCCTAAAATGTCACAGTTTATCAGCTCATCTCATCCCGGGTAGCAAATTCAGAAGTCCTCACCACCTATTCATATGCAAAATTGATGGCAGACAGTGAAAATTCATACCCGGCGCTGCAAGCATGAACTCTACATGCATGATGCAGCAAGAGAGCGAAATCCCAGAAAAAAAAAACGCACCAGAGAGCAATACAACGCATGCAGTCAGCAGTCTCGTCTACACAATTCAAAATCCGGCCCTGTTTATTTTGTACTACTACCGATCGGGCACGGATCAGCACAAATCGTAGCGATTCCACGCCCAAATTGGAGGTCCAAACCCTAACACCCAGAGATTTAGGAAATTGCCCCCCAAATTCAAAACAAAGTCTCTATGTATAATCCCAAGCTGCAACCATCAAACCATGAACAAACCCAAAATGTACCTAAGCGATCAGGCCAACCAGGCCAGGGGCCAGTGCCTCTCCGATCCGCGCGTCGTCAGGTACAGCCGGAGCCCGGAGGACATCACGCCGCGGCGGCGCCTTCTCCCTCGCGAGATAATTTTTTTTTTAAGACTTTTGTCTCGGGAAGAAACTTCTAGAGGTTTCTAGAAGATACTGGAGTTGGAGAGGTGGGGGGCGATCTGGCTGTTGAGGAAGGCAGGAAAGCCATCTGTTTTTTTTTTTCCTTTCACTTCCTTCCTGGGCTTTATTTACAACTATCGGCTTCGTGAGGCCCAAGGGGGAAGAAGAAGCTTTCAAATATGGGCCGGAATCTGGCAAGGCCCTGGCCCAACAAAGAGAGCAGAGTCCAATACAGAACCAGCCGATTCGCCTCCTCCTGCACAAGCTGAAGCTGCAACGCAACCGCCGCCTCCGCCGCTGGCGCGCTGGTCGGCGGCGATGGCGGGCGGCGCTGGGGGGCCGGAGGATCTTGGGAAGCCGGAGCTCTCTCCCCTGAGGCTGTAGCCCGTTGCTGTAGCCGCGGTAGTGCTGTAGTGGGGAATTGGAGGGGGGGCAAAAGGGAGATCGTGCTGGGATGGGGGCGAGCCTGCACGCGTCGTGCTTCTCGCGGCGCAGGAGCCCGAAGACGAGGGCGAGGTCGTCGGAGAGTGCGAGGCTGCCATGGCCGGCGTCCTTGCGAGGTTAAGCGCCTGCCCCTCTAGGCCTCTAACTTCGCATCCTCTTTCTTCCTCCCTATGTTGCAGAATCCTCTTACGAAAATGTTGGTGGGTGTTCCAGGAAATATCAACAGGAACATTCTTTGCAGATGGAGATGGAATTGGTAAAACCTTCTTTACTATTCAGAATGTTTTCCTGTTAGCACTGGCTTGAGCATTCTTACATATCTATGTTCTGTTCTGTTACATCTTATATAGGTGAAGTTTGATAGTTTGACACTTTATTCGTTGCCATTTTGATCATTTGTATTGTAGTGTACATGCAGGTGATAATTGGGGATGCATTTTTATGTCGGAATGGAAGAATTGAGTAGTTGTTTGCAACCTTCAGTACAATCTACTGGTGAGTAGTTTGTCTTGTTTGAGTCTGACAGTCCGTACGAGACTATGTCAAGATCAATAAAAGCATGCAATCTATTCATATGCATAATTAGCTAGATGACTTTGTACCTTTGCAGGTAATTTGTTTCATTACAGATGATGCAGTTTTGGGACTGATGATGAATGATAAGTTAGCTAGCTAGCAAACATTAGAAGCTAATTTTAAAGTTGCTGAACTTCCGTAGTAACTAAACTCTGAAATACACTATCTAAAGTATGTGACACTGCCTGATAAAATGTTAAGGAAGTGTAAGCATTTCTTGATACAAATGCTCTCTCTTATTTGCTGATGATCTAATCTAATATTTATTTTGCTCCATATAATTCATGCTCATGTTAGTGAAGGTATAAATTGCGAGCACTTTCACCATTAGGCATTAAGTGCTTTAGCCTGTGTTGCTTTACTTTTCCTGTGAATATTATCCACACCTGATTATTTAAATCATACCCTTTTTGATAAGCATGGATGTAGTCTATAAATTCTATAAGATAAAGCTTAAGTTCAGTTTTGTTCTGATAGTACAGATTAGATAAAGATGGCATCGATTCTTATCTCTGTCTATCGTTTTTTCTTTCCTGTCTAGTATCCATCTTCAATGTCTTTTAGCAAGGAGGAACGAAGAAAAGAAACATATTGTATATTTTACCTTTTATTTTTGCTTATCTTGGTTCTACCATCAATGCTTGCACTATTTTGTCTTTACCAATGGAAAAGCGAAGCACTGCACATGTGTAAGTTAAAGGAACTCTTTTGGCTTACTTCTGCAATTTCTTAAGTCTTAACATGATATAATGGCTTGATATTGTTGAGTTGCCAGTTTTGTAATAGTAGTTTGAGTCATATATAAGTATGCATTCATTTTTGGAAAAAAAAATATGGAAAGATGAGAGGGTGAGAAGTGAGATAGGACGTGGGATTTCTCTTTTGATGAAGAATCTAGCAAAGTGAAGCTGACAAGCATAGCACAGATCAACGGTGCTTTTCCTCTTTGCTTTGACAAATACCAAATAAGGCTAACACCGATGGTAGCTTCAAAACAAGAAGATCATGTAAATTCATCCTTGTTATCAACAAATTGCATGCATTATCACTGAGAAAATATCTGATGCTGTCTGCCGAATTGCCAATATTGTCAATTTGGGGAATTACCCTATAATACATAAAAGACTTTGATATGTAATACTTGCTGCTGATGCTAAGGTTCTGAGTTGAAAACTGCAACAAGCAAATAAAATACATTTTACTTCCATTTTTTTTCTGCATGGGTTACTTTGTCTCATTTTGCTGTGTGGATACTAAAGTATATCTCTTGCTTGTAACTTAAGATTGGTTATATAGACTAGGACTCCAAAGCATAAAGTGATGAGTTAAGATAACATTAATAAGAGAGCTTGGTACAGTCATATCACGTACACATAGATGTCCACAGCTGCATCACTGAGGAAGTGTTAGTGCAATGGTTAGACCAAGAAGTGCTTGAGGCAAAATGTGCAAACAATTTTGTGTATATCAGGAATCGAGTATTCCCAACCTTTGGCACATACATGCTCTTGATATTTTACATGAAACTCATATGATAGCTTCTTTTTTACAGAAGAATAAGTTGAAACTAAAAAAAACCTTCCAGTGATTACCTTCATGGTGTATACAAGCTATTGCCTGAAAATTTTGGTTGATCCTAACTCTCTTCAATGTTTTTTTCTCTTTTGGGGCACTATCTCATCTAAAATCCCTGCGATTCAAGTACCTCTCTCAGGCATTCGATCCTTCGCCATTTGCGTGCTCATCTAACTATATACAGACACAAACTCACAGCCCTTTAGTCCACTGGTGGTATATGTATTTGACACCAAAATGTTGTTAGTTCTCATTATCGACCAAATTTAGGAAATGTGATTTTTATCATTTATATTTAATCATCTCAAGGGGTACTTTGAATGACTACTTAAGTAATTTTTTTGTTATTACACATTGATGAGACATCAAACTATGCTGACTTGGATACCAGAGTGGCAGTTGGACTGCTATAGGCAAATTGAAATTAGCATGCAGCTCTGGGGAGGAAACATCACTCACGGTTTATGTAATGCCTTAAGATCACACATTGACTTATTTTTGTGCCAGAATTGAATATGAAATGCAGCTGTCTTGGACACCTGAGTGGGCTTTGAGGTTGTATATGTCAATACTGCATGAAAGAAACATGCAGATTTGTGGACAAAGGAGCACTCATGGTTTTTATAATGCTTCAAGATAACAAGTTTAACTTATTTCGTGTTAGAATTGCTTTTTTTTGTCGGCTAAATAGGTGCTTTACCAGTAGGATTGGTGTTGATGGCCCAAGCAGCTCTAAGGCGACAAGTCAGCCCCCAATTCGCTAGCTAGCTGGTTCTGGCGCACACAAAGTGGAGGGGATCAAAACAGGCAATAGCCAATAAATAATTTGTTTGTGAGTGCTCTAAGAATATGTAGCTGCTCCATTTGCTTTGTGTTTAAGCTTAAATGATTCATCTTTCAGTACTTGGTGCAGTCTCCTTGTTCCTACAGTTATATAGTTGAACTTCAAGTTGCAGAATCTACATAATTTATATCAAGTTTGCAATTGATTCCCTTTGGATCTGTTAATTTTAATGATGAAATTTGATGATAAATCCAGTAAATTTAAATTGACAAACTTATCTGGGATTTTTTTTCTGCATTTAGGGGTACTGTTTCCATAAATTAACAAGAAAGGGCACCAACGTTATTTTGTTTTTTCGCCGGGAAGGCCGAAGGAGGCCATCCGAGTATATTAAAAAGGAATAAAGTTACAAGAAAAAACTCGACAGAGGCTGTCGAGGTCGGAGGTGCATCGAAATGCACAACCAAAGCCACATGCTAATCACACAAGCACAACCCACTGAGAGAAAAACCTAGCACCGAGACGACCCCCGCTATGCGTGGCCGATCGCCGCCGGGCCAACGACAACACCACAAAGACGGGACTCTAAAAGTGATGCCCCTAAGGAGGTCACGACATCAAGGATGCCGCCATCGCCCATCTAAGGAGATGTGGTTTTCACCTAGAGAAAACTCGCCAAGGGAGAAAGGTATCCTTGCCAGCGCCCTCAAGGGGGTTACGACGCCCAAAAGCGTAGCCGCTGCCAGCCCGATGAATCATCAGGCGAGGCTTTCACCCGGAAACCCTTCAACCTTGCTTGAGGTTCGTCGCCCATCAACTCAGGAACCACCTCACAAGCAGATCAGCACGAGGCCTCCACCACACTGCGCCGGCGCCCCTCCACCTGCCGACCACCACACTTGCTGCATAGAGCTGCCGCCACCCTAGGAACTGGCCCAGACTTCCTCCGTCCTGCCACCCGTCGACCTCCTTGCCAGCTTTAGCCGAAGGATAACCCGGAATTGGACGGCGTCGTGTCGGCGGTCTGAGCTCCCCTCGCTAACCGGCTGCCGCCTCAATCCAACATAGAAACTCCCCACAGAGAAGGGGAGGAGCTCCAGGAAGGGCGAGGGTGCAGGCTGGCAGCGAGGAAGACGACCCACTGCCGCCAGCTCCCTTAGCACTGCCATCACTCCCTTCACTCCCTGCCTCAGGGCCTACGAGCCGCCATGCCCACCCCAACGCCACCACCGCTGCACCAGAAGGCCAGACCGCCGCCGTCCGACCGCCCATGCTGCGCCGCGCCGACCACGGGCCACGATCTGGCCGCGCCCTCCGGGAGGACCGCCGCCGCCGCCGCCATCCATCCGCCCAGGCCGCCGCCCGGATGCAGTTGGCCCCGCCCTCCATGAGGGCTGTCGCCGCTGCGCCAATCCCCGGCCGCCGCCCCGTGCTGGACCACGGTGTCCCACGGCCACCCGCGCCGAGCCGCGACACGCGCGCCGCCTCTGAGCCCCGGCCGTCACGCCGGGGATAGGTGTAACACCCTGAAAATTCGACGACAAAAATCTAAACTCTAAAAATGCGGATTTTCAAAAACTTTTTAAATAAATTGCATCATGCCGATTTTATTCGATTATTTTATTGGAGTTTGGGTTCGGAGTTTATAAATCGCGAATAATGGATAATTGGTTAGGAATAAACCCTAAAAAGTAAATGGACAAAGTAAGTAATTAAAGTGCAACTTAAAATAAGATTTGGTGAGGATAGAAATGAGTAAAATATTATTACGACCATATTTATATCCATCAAATTTAAAAGCAATGGAATGAGAATTAACTCTAATTAAGTTCAAGTAAATTACAATAATAATATATAAAACATGGAATAAATTAATCTAGAATGAATCCATGGATTGGAATGGCACAAATATTGAGTATACTTCATTTATGCAAAATTTGGGAATTAAAGAATCAAATTTAAATAATAAATGGGCCAAAATCGGGTTAATTAGAAAACGGCACTGTTCATTGCACCTAAAGTGTTCGACGAGGTCCCCTAGCCCTAGCCCCTCCTTTGCCGCGTTGCCCTCGCGCCCCGCGCGCCGCACGCCGCTCCACCTCCCCTCTGCCGACGCCGTCGCCATCACCGCGCCTGGCCGCCCCTAACCCCGCGCCGCCGTCGCCGTCGTTTCCGTCGCGTCGCCGCGCCGCCGTCCATCGCCTTGCGCCGCGCACCGCCGCTACCGCCGTGCCGTTGCGCGTCGCTCGCCGCCATCCCGTCGCGCCGTCCCATCGCGCCGCGCGCCGTCACGTCGCCACTGCCGAGCCGTCGCCGTCGTCGCCTCGCGCCCCGTGCCGCGCCGCTCCCCCGAGCCCCGTGCCGCCGCTACTACCGCGCCGCGCCGCCCGTTCCATCGTCGCGCGCCGTCGCCGTTCGGCCGTCGCGTCGCCGCTGCCGCGCCATCGCCATCGCACGTCGCATCACCTGCCGCGCCGCGCCCCCGAGCCCCGTGCCGCCGCTGCTGCCGCGCCGCTGCCGCTCCTCGCGCCCCGCGCCCTGCCGCGCCGCGTCGTCGTCACATCGCCGCGTCGAGCCCCGCGCCGCGCCACCCCGCCGACGCCATGAGGCCGCCGCCCCTCTCCCCTCTTCCCCATTATCTCTCTCCCCCCTCCCTTATATAAGCCCCCCTACTCCCACTCTTCCCCTTCATCCTCACCTCCTCTCCTGTACCCACGCCACCACGCCGCCGCGCCGTCGCATAGAGCCGCCGCGCCGCCGCCACGAAGCCGCCGCGCCGCGCTGCACCTTGCGCCGACGTCACCACCGTCGCCGTCGCCGCCGTCGCCGCCACCGCCGTCGGTAAGCCGCTGCCTCCACCACTTGCTCGGCCGCCGTCGCCGCCCCGGGTAGCAGAGAGCCGAGAGAGAGAGAGAGAGAGAGAGGGAGAAACCGAGGGAGAGAAAGAAGAAGGAAGGATGAGAGAAACCGGGAGGGAGAGGGAGAAGGAAAAAGAAAAGAAAAGGGAGAGAGAGAAGGAAAAAGAAAAGAAAAGAGAGAGAGAGAAAGAAAAGAAAAAGAAAAAGAAAGGAAGGAAAAAGAAAAAGAAGGGAAGAAAAAGAAAAGGGAAATAGATAGGAAATTAGAGGGAGACTAGGGAAGTTTAGAAAATTTAAAATAATTAGCATTTAGTTATAGACTAGTTATAGACGTAGAATTGCGAAATTTAATATAAATTATGGATTATTCTTGGTAATTTCTACAAGAAATCAATTCGCGGTAGTAGTTTAAATGTAATTAAGAACTAAACGATTAGATGAATTCTTATAGACTATTATAGATTATTTTGGGTAATCTCTATAAGTAATTGATTTACGGTAGAAATTCGGATTTAATCACTAGGAATTTTAGACGTATATTATATTTAGTCGTTTAGTCCTAGACTAAAATTTAATTGTATAATATTATAAGATAATTTTAGGATTCCGTCCGATATTTAGCTTGCGATAGAAATTTCCAACCTATTATATGGATATAATGCTCGGGTAGATTAAATTAAAAACTTATGATAACAAAATATTTATACCCGCAAAATAGTTTAGGATATAAAAATCGAAATTGGGTTTGCCCTAGTTCGCGAATAGTAAAGTTAATATAAAAGAATCGACTTAAGCGTTCGACTTCCATTTGGATTTATTTGGATTTTTATTTGAATTCTAACCGAATTCAAATCAATTTTCACACGTAACTATAGAGCCCGAGGGAGTTGCGGATCCAAGTGAAGGCCAAGACCCGCAAGACTTTGAGCAAGGCAAGTCATCACTATTTCTTTAACATGTTGATCCCAATTGTAAAATTGTTTTGTTTACAAATAAAATTGCATGCAATGATGAACATCCTACTTGTGATTATGCCATGCCTTGATTATTGTTTGCCCCTTATTCCTTCGTAACCATGTTTACGTATGAGTCCCTAGTCAATTATGACAATTGCTTAGAAATGCTATTCTAGAATCATGCATACTCATATTTATCAAATGATGCTTGGGCAATTACTTTTGGGAAGGTAATTGAGATGCGGCATGTGGAGACATGAGCGCCACATTGCCATGATGTTGATGACATGATTTGTGAAAGGAGAAATAAAATTAAACAATTGTTTTCGACTGGGGTGGACGAAGGATTTGGGTGGTATCTGGGAAAGGCTAGTACCGTCCCCGGTCAATTAAGGACCGAGCCATGAAGTTAAGCATGAAACGACCCCCGTACAACCGTACTTCTCGAATGGGTATAGACCTAGCGGATTAGATAGCCGAGCGGAGGCAGTATCCCTGCATAGATGGTTCACCCCTGAGTGAGGCAGGTGCGCTACGATGGGACAGCCGTTGAGGTAGGGCCGAGAGGCGTGCCCTACATCGGTGTCGCCATTGGTAGGACTGCCATGAGTGTGTGTGAGAGAGAACTTAACTTGAACCATAATTTAATATGTGTGAGACTTCTCTTTTCCGGGAGCGCCAGAACTCCTCACACTGCTAGAAACATGGACACCTAGAGTGCATGAGGATTTAAGTTCATGGAGCGGATACTGCCAATGCGAGGTTATCGAAAAGCTTTGCCGTGACGCGTCTCATGTGTTGGGACGAGGCTCATGTGTTGAGCAGTCGCGGAGTGCGGGTAAAGTGTACATCCACTGCAGTGTGAGTAAACCAAATCTATTCGAATAGCCGTGCTCGCGGTTATTGAGCACCGGGACATGTATTACACTTGGCTAGACTCTAAATTCTTTAACTTGTGTGGGATGGGATATTGCATGATGATTTTTATGCTGATGGAGCCACTTCCTGAGAGGCGGGAATATGGACGTCCTCAGAAAACCATAACGACTCAATGGCGGGAAGCTATCCTTGGGATCACAATGGATGGTGGACAGAACCATCATTATTTAATATGAACACTGGTATTAAAACTTGATCAGTCTATGCTAGGTCTTAGGCTTGTGAAAAGAATTACAAAACTTGCTTTGCGCAAAAGAACCATAGCCATCCTTTGAATTCCTCTGTCATGTGCATCATTGCTGTGGTGGCTTGCTGAGTACGGTTGGTACTCACCCTTGCAAATATAATCAGAAGCGGGAGATGAAGCTTCGGAGGATCCCTATGCCTACTACTAGGAGGGAGATGAAGACGATGGCGCTCAGTAGGTCTTAGTTACGGTCGTTGCCTGTGGCAATGGCGTGCCACTGCCTTAACTCCACTGCCTTACCTACTTCTGTTTTTGGAATGTATTCCGGACCGCTCGGTCCGATGATTTAAGACTGTGCCTGCGGGCTTATGATGTAATAATTGGTACTAGACTCTCGTGTATGTGCACTTGATATTTCAACTATGAGTTCGTGTGTACCAGACTACTTGATCCAGGGAAATGGTACTGTTTACACGATTGATTCCTGTTATAAAAACGGGGGTCCACAATAGGGCGGCCAGATCCGGCCACCGCCGGATCCGCCCACCGTCCGCCAGGCCGACCCGCGCCGCCACCCCGCGATGGCCCGGGACGCCCCGCGGCCGACCGCGCGCTGCCGGCGAGCCATGGCCGTCGCGCCTCCCGATCCGGACGTGGGGCGGCCAAATCCGGCCAAAGAAGTGCCAGATCCGCCGCCACCCCAAGCTGCCCCGCCGTCGTCGCCTCTGGTCGTGGTGGTAGACGTCGTCAGCCCAACTCCGTCCTCCTCGCACCAAGGAAAGGGTTGCTGCAGTGGAAGGCCTCGCCGCCGCCTTCCCGGCTCGCCGTTGACGAGCTCCGGCGGCGGCGAGGTGAAGGGAGAGGAGGGGGGTGGCGGCGCGGGCGGCTAGGGTTTCGCCCCCCGAGCCGCCCGCGCGAGAGCGACGCGGGGGAGAGAGGAAGAGCTCATCTGTTTCCAACGTTATTTTGTTGCTGGGCTGGCCAAAGATTAGGCCGACTAAATTTCTTTAAGATTAAGAGTTTGTACAACTGTACAAGTGTTAAATATTTCGACAAGAAGCTGTTGAAATTGAATGGAGTTTGCCGAGAGGCACCCTCCCAAAAGCAAAAGAGATTACACCTCTGTTGTTATAACGTTATGCATGAAGGTATTCCTGTTTCTCCTTTGCATATATAGTTAACTAGTTTATTCACTTCCTTTCTTCAAAGTAGACAAGATTGTACTAAGAAGGAGCAAGGGGAGTCACATAGTTTCTCCTTTGTGCCTTTGTCTATATTTTGTGTGTTACATGGAATTGTGTTTGACTAGGTCCAGCTAAGTCACGCACCAACTATTAAAGGTCAAATTTGTAGGTCCTTGCCAGAATGTTTACAGTCGTCCATGATGACCTTTGAGCTGTCTTATTTCTGAAACACACAAATCCATGTTCCAGCTTAATCTCTATTCTTGCGTATGTTCTTTATAGTATTATTAGGCAGACAATAGATGGTGCTGCTTGTGGCCCCCCGATCCCCAGAAAACCCACTGAGATGCAGCCCACTTGCCACAAGCAAAGAAGCTTCCAATTGTGCACCTTCTGGCCTTTGCCAAAAGCATTTGTCTCAACTGGTTGTCAGGACCAATGGGATAGCCCGTCGTACTAAACCAAATAAATAAATGAAACCATATTATTTGTTGTGTCGAAGAGTCTATAAATACTTCATCACAAACCAGCTTATGGTTCTATCTTAGGAAGAACAGGGCAGACCCACGCAACTAGGTGAGCCCAAGATCTTCAGTTGCAGGATTCCGAAGAAGGCTTTTGTCCATACACCAAGGGTAGAGATGTACTCAAGAAGGATACTGCTGCACACCCCATTCTCTGGGCAACCCTCTGGCCCTAGTCAGCCGGTGTCTGGAGCCACCATCGTTGAAGGTGGTTCTCCCGGGAGCAACTTTGATGCAAACATCGTCATGATCCTAGCTGTTCTTCTCTGTGCACTGATCTGTGCGCTTGGGCTCAACTCAATTGTCCGGTGCGCGCTAAGGTGTTCAAGCCGGATGGTGGTGGATCCTGAGCCGAGTCGGGTCACGCGGCTGGCTCAGAGCGGGCTGAGGAGGAAGGCCCTCCGATCCATGCCTATCCTTCTCTACTCAACTGGGTTGAAGCTCAATACTGTGAGTCCTATGTGTGCAATCTGCCTCTCCGACTTTGAGGACGGGGAGCATGTCAGGGTCCTCCCAAAGTGCAACCATGGGTTCCATGTCAGATGCATTGACCGGTGGCTCTTGGCGCGGTCGACGTGCCCAACATGCCGGCAGTCCCTGTTTGGGGCACCACAGAAGGCCTCTGGCTGCTCCGAGTCCGAGGGAAGCCAGGCCGAGCCAGCGCCAGCTCGCCCTGTGCTGGCGCCACTTAGACCTGAAGGTTTGGTTACTCCATATGATTTTTAGAGCCTTCCATTGCTTCTAGTTGTTGCATCAAGCATAAGGGAGTGTGGTGAAATAGAACTAGGTTGTGAACGTGTGATTTTTAGGTGTTACTGCCAAACTGGCTTGTACTGCTGTACATTGTGTGGTAGATCTGTAGTAAAAAAAAATTGCTGTACAGATTGATTTGGAATTCTATTAGTGTGTTAATACCTGATGTTGCTCGAGAATGAGGCGTGGATAGAAAAAAAAAGGTGCTATTGGCTTCTGTGAATCACATTTTCTATGCCATTTTGTAGGGAAGAAATAGGAGTGAAGATTTCAGATCTAATCATATGGCAGTGCTGCACCAACAATCAACCATTATGTTGGTTGGAAATCAAGCATTAGTTGCTAAGGTTCAAGTCAGTGGGACAAGCATATTCTCCTGCAATTATCGAGAGATCAGGGCTTTGTTATCTGAATGCATTGTGGTCATCTATGTCCCAGAATTGACAGGTGGGTCCACGGCCGACTATGCCCTGTGCACTTTGGCTATTTTGTGCTGTCTGCTCCAAAAGCTTGAAAGGTAAGTGGCCAATCCACACACAATCTTTTCTGCAGCTTCCTGGAAAGCTAATGCCTTTAAAGAATCTGCTAGCTTAGCAACTGTGTGGTTCATATGAATTTGAAAGAAAAATAACAAGGAGATCACTTAACTGTGCACACTGAAAACGAAAACTGCTTGGATGCCCACTGAATGGGAAGATAAACTCTTTTTCTGAACTTGCAGTGGTTATGAGAATGTTGTAGCAGTGTTACATATAGCTTGATAACAGTTTCACTATACACAAGGGCCCACTCAGAATATATGTTATGTGATAATGTTGTCGCAATGTTACATACTCCTTCCGTCTTATAATATAAGAGATTTTGAAAGGATATGACACATTCTACTACTACGAATCTGAACAGGATATGTCATATCCTTCCAAAATCCCTTATATTATGGGATGGAGAGAGTACTAATTTGGTAACAGTTTCACTATACTTAAGGGCCCACTAGAAGATATGCTATGATGAGAATGTTGTAGCAGTGAGTAGAATTTGATAATAGTTATTTTATTTGTTCTAAGGCCCCACCAAGAAGATACGTTACGAGTATTTGAAAAGGATGTTAGCACTGCTGTTGCCCCTTACAAGAAAGGAGGGCCAATGGTTGATAGAGTTCATCTGAATGCCTTTTTTTTTTGGAACGATATCATCCGAATCCGATTGCTTTTAAGAACAGTTTGTAGCGTATGAAGTCTGAACTACTCATGTTGAAGCTGGCAATGATATTGTCTGCCAATTTTGCGAACACTAATAATCAAAATCTTCTTCAGCCTTGTATTTGACATAGACATGTTTTTCTTTTGGATATATCAAAACGAAGGAAAATACTGTTATCAACTATTCAAAGAAAATTACGAGTCCTTTGTGTACTTTGGGGAAGGAAAGAAAATAGAGGTCTACGAAACAACTATTTTCTTCTATATTTTCTATATACCAATTTCCACGCAATGGATTCTTCCTTCAATAAAGAAGTTATGAAAGCGACATTTTTTTTCTGCAATGAAATTAAGAATAATCTTATAATAGTCAGTATGAATTACAATTCAATGCGTCTGACCTTTGACATTTTAGATCTCAAATCAACCACCATCAAATATAAAAAAGTTATGAAAATGACATATTTCCTACAGTGAAATTAAGTTGAGATGCCACTAGTGATAAGAGGTGTGTGGTTTCAACTCTGAAGTCATGTGTTCAATCCCTAAGTTTTTTTTCTTAAAAATTGTTTGAAGGGACATCTCTCCCTTCAAATCTAGTTTTTTTAACAGTGAAATTAAGAAGTCTTACAATATTCAGCATGAATCACAATCTTAAATGCTTCTGATCTTCGACATTTAGATCTCAAATCAACCACCATTTCTCGGGCGGAGCTAGAGTGAGATGGAGGGGGTGCCACTTGTTTAATTTACTCTGTTTTATATCAAGTTTAAGCTAATGCGGGTGTCTAATTTATAGTGAAAATATGCCAGATATAGCTATATTTTTTTTGACCGGGTTCCTTGGCACCCTCCTTAATACTCTAGCTCCACCCCTGATTTCTCCCACTATAACAAGATATCATATTTCTTCGAGAGGCGTTGCCTATCATTAACCCAAAATGGAGCCGCAAAGGGGATGATAAGCCTAGTCCACAAGTGGCAAGTTAAAGGGAATATGGCCATTGGGGGGGGGGGGGGGGGGCATATCATGTACTAGTAAAGCTATATGATCTCCATCTATCTGGTTGATATGACTGCAGCATCATCTTGCAACCTCAAATGCTCTCTCAGTGGGGAGGGTTCATTTCAGCCCCTGATTCCTTTGAAAGCCCCTCGGACTGATTGACCAAGCATAAGGTGAAAACACAGCAGGGGGGGATCATCCAATGAGCGGCTGCGTGACTCTTGTTCGTTCGGGTGGGTGTAGTTGGAGTATGATACGGCAGCCGCGACGGAGGCCAAACCTTAGCGGAAAAGCATGATGAGCACGCCGGTCACCTCTCAATTATCATCGCTGATCACCTCTTATAAGATCCTTTCCGGAGCTTTGACGCCTGATGTCCGTTGCTCCACGCCTTGACATGGTTCACCACAGCTTTTGAACAATGTGAATAATTCCTGTGTCTCATAAAGAGTGCACTTTTCAGTTTTTATACGACGTTTGACTCTTCATCTTATTTATTTTTTATTACTATTTTTATTGTTATTAGATGATAAAACATGAAAAATACTTTATACGCTACTTTTTTTCTTAATTTTTTTTTCATAAATTTTTCAAATAAGATGGACGGTCAAACGTTGGAAATAAAAACCCAAAAATGCGTTCTTGCAGATGGACTGATGTGCGTGATCTTGCAGATGAAGCTACAAGGGCAGTAGAGTGTACATGGTTTGTACCACACTTAGGCCCTGTTTAGTTCGCAGGACGAAAAGTTTTGGCGTGTCACATCGGATATACGGACACATATTTGAAGTATTAAACATAGACTAATAACAAAACAAATTACAGATTCCGTCTGTAAACTGCGAGACGAATTTATTAAGCCTAATTAATCCGTTATTAGCAAATGTTACTGTAGCACCACATTGTCAAATCATGAAGCAATTAGGCTTAAAAGATTCGTCTCGCAATTTTACACGTAATCTACGTGATTAGTTTTTTTTTTCTATATTTAATACTCCATGCATGTGTTCAAACATTCGATGTGACAGTGTGAAAAGTTTTTGCGTGGGACCTAAACAGAGCCTTAGGTTGTGTTAGTTTGTGTTGGTTGGGAACATATCCCTCCGCCACGGAAAATGAAATAGCTCATTAGCGCATGACTAATTAACTATTAACTAAAACTAACTTGAATGGATTAACATGATTTTTAAAGCAACCTATATATTTTTTTTAAACACACACCGTTTAACAGTTTGAAAAGCGTACACAGCCTTTATGTATGGAATGAAACCCATCTGTGCATCTTTTCCTATTATTCCGTTGCAACCGATATAATTGTATAAAGTTATAGAATATGCGTTAAATATACAACATGAAAAAAAATTGCACAATCTCTTATGCGGAACTATGGCCACGTTGATTATGGATTTTAGAATTTCGTTTGCACACTTCCCAAGTTCTTAAACAATATATTTCATGCAAAAGAACATTCTACATAAATTTTTTTTGGAGTGCTTTTCAACAATAACGTTTCAATATTTCTTTCGTTTATACCATTAAATAGCAATACAAAAATTAAATTATCCATCAACTTACAACTATCTCAAACCGGGCATATGAACCCTATGACTAATGTGATTTGGTCCCAAAGTTTGCCCTCCTAGTCGTTTGGTGGCTTCAATTGAATTGACATGTAACCTTATCCTATCAAAACTTACGGATTTGACCCTACCAACAATCTTACAGGCATCTTCATCGTTTGTTCTTCAGCTTATCAACTCCGACTAAAAACTATTCTAAGTTGATATTGTTGTTTTTCTTCGTAGCTTATTTTCCAGCGTTGCCATTTAAGTATTAAAAACCATATACAAAAATCTTTATGCACAGATTAATCTTAAATGGTTTATAAGAATTACAGCTTATCATCAGTTGCAAACCGGTGGTACTGCTTGAGAAAACCAAAGTCTCTTAATCCTGTGCAGAATGAGTGTGTCCACAAGCAATGTGGCCCACCAGGCCGCTGTTAGGCCAGAATGGGCCTACGCCTGGGCCGCATCTTCAATCGGGCTAAAAAAAAGTCATCATCTCCGCTCCCACCCAAGATCCTCTGACGTCTGGGTCCACCGATCCTCCCCCATCCCGTCCCAGCCAATAGCGTCGCGCCCTTCCCCCCACCCGCGGATCGCGGCCATCGTTAGACTCATCCCAGCCGTCCACCTAATCCGACGCTCCAAACCCCACCCCCCAAAAATCCCAAAATTTTTCGCGATCCCGCGCCTTCCGCCAACTACAAATACCCCCGCGCCCCCAACCCGAAATCCCCACGCCTCAATTCAAAAAATCCATTCGAATTTCGCAGCAAAGAGATCGAGAGAGAGATCCATCAATCCATCATCCATGGCGCGCACGAAGCAGACGGCGAGGAAGTCGACCGGCGGGAAGGCGCCTCGGAAGCAGCTGGCGACGAAGGCGGCGCGGAAGTCGGCGCCGGCGACCGGCGGCGTGAAGAAGCCGCACCGCTTCCGGCCGGGCACGGTGGCACTCCGGGAGATCCGCAAGTACCAGAAGAGCACGGAGCTGCTGATCCGGAAGCTCCCGTTCCAGCGGCTGGTGCGGGAGATCGCGCAGGACTTCAAGACGGACCTCCGGTTCCAGTCGTCCGCCGTCGCCGCGCTGCAGGAGGCCGCCGAGGCCTACCTCGTCGGCCTCTTCGAGGACACCAACCTCTGCGCCATCCACGCCAAGCGCGTCACCATCATGCCCAAGGACATCCAGCTCGCCCGCCGCATCAGGGGCGAGAGGGCTTGATGCCGTTATTGTTCGAGTTCATGGCTTGTTAGATCTAGAAGTGTTAATTAACCCATGGATCTGTGTTATCCTGTAATCACTCGCTTGAATTGGGTTCGCATTGATGGAATACAATCTGTTCTTGGCAAACTGTGGGATTTGTTTGTCTGTTTCGTGGGTTGTTTGATGCTAGTATCTGAAGATGGTAGCTAGGCAATACGTTTCTGTCAGTCTGCATGTCGATGGGTATGCGGATGATTTGGGAATCAACCACCCTATATTTCATTTTATTTGTAGGCTTGCAGTGGAGCCATGAAATTTCATGTGTTTGGTAATTTTTCTCTTTGATTGTCAGATATTGCAATTTTTTTTTTCAGATTTTCCTTTTGAAGTAAAACACTATACGAAAGAATCCTACAGTGTCATATTAATAAATATATAATATTTACAAAGTACAATTTACACCAAAGGTGATTACAAGTTCTCTAGCCATTGTTTAACTTTTGGGAAATAAGATTGTTTCGCCCTTTGGATAACCACGGCAAATTCTTGTCTTAAAGAGAAACTGATCTGAAGAAGAGAATTTATGTTTCTGAAGATTCTATTGTTCCTCCAGATCCAGATACTCCATGCCATTGTTATGACTATCTCCATATACTCAATTTTTTCAGATTGAATGCAGAAAAAGGAAAATGCTTTATACTACCAGTGTGTTTTGGGTCAATTCGATCGACACATTCACTGTTACCAAATCTGATACTAACTGATAAGCACTGAGGACTGATATGTTATGGGCTTTTGGATCAATTCTTGGGCTTGTTCTTCCGCGAAGGGCCAACTGGCCATGTCTGAACTCACAATCCAAAAGGAAGACAATTATTAGGAGTATCAATTATCATAACCATCCAAAAAAAGATCATACGAGGGAAGACTTGCAGAAGGTTTCAGAGCAATGATCACTGTCCGTCACCAACTACCCTTCATCAAATTGTTTCATAAAAACAAAGACTAGCAGTGGACTGGTACCAGGTTACAGCTTTGGGATTGTCGGCAAAGCCAGTTCATACTTCGCCATGCGGCTCCGACCATGTACTGCAATCACACAAACAGCGAGAAAAAAGAATATGAGCATTAAACAAAGGCTAATGCAGGTGTGAGCCTGCGCCCCACAATTGCTTTCATCTGCACGACTGACTTTAATTTCCCTCCAGTAATCAAATCAGTGGGAATATTTACAACCAGTACTCCATATCTATCTATACACGTACAGTAGTTGATGAACTAAGATGACCATATATAGGTTCAGTCCTAGTTCATGCTCACACTCTCTGCTCTGTTGAGTTACCCAATTTGAATAGAGTAAACTTATCTCTACAGTAAAGGATTCAGATATCTCAAACTGTAGATGTAAAAACAAAATGATTTGAAGAACTAAGAATGAAGAAACTTTTAAGAGGCACAGGGGTATGGCCTCCTGAGGCTCTAAAAGGTTCAGGCAAGGACCATGTGAAGTTACAACCGATGCCACATTTTCTAGTAGGCAGTCAGGATCCCTGGACCAGCATTCCATTCATTGCACTCATGACCAATCGGCAATCGCCATGCGAGTCCGGGGTAAATGATTGATCAATATTCCAGCACAAGAATAATATTTGTCGGATTCTCGATCACCTTTGCTCTAGACAACAACTTCATCCCTTTCCCAATGAAAAAAAAAGAAGAAGATCACTGTACACTAGACAACAAAAATATGTCATGCCTTTTCCAATAAAAAAAGAACCCATGCCATCCTGCTCAATTCCCTGATAACATTTGCTACCCCTTTTTCTCATGTGCTCCTCACCATTTCCTAACACCTATTTAAGTGCCCCAAGTGGCAAGAAACTTAAGTATCCATTCCAACATTGTGGCAGCTCCCTCTGAAATCCCCTCTTCCAATCATATCCACCAGCTCACAGTTTGTGATCCACTATGACTATCCTCCTTGTCATTCTTGGGCTTCATCTCTGCAGCCTACACCTCCCTGCAATCTCTGCTGCAGCAGACACGCTCTCTCCCGGCCAATCGATCGCCGGCGACGACAGGCTCGTCTCCAGCAACGGCAAGTTCGCGCTCGGCTTCTTCAACACCGGCAGTAAGTCCTCTGGAAATGACACTCTCAGCTACTGGTACCTAGGCATATGGTTCAACAAAGTCCCAAACAAAACCCATGTTTGGATAGCAAACAGGGGTAGCCCGGTCACAGATGCAACCTCATCACATCTCACAATCTCCCCCGATGGCAACCTCGCCATCGTAAGCCGAGCCGATAGCTCCATCGTTTGGTCTAGCCAAGCCAACATCACAAGCAACAACACCGTTGCCGTGCTCTTGGACACCGGAAACCTTGTACTACAAAGCTCCTCAAACTCATCACACATTTTGTGGGAGAGTTTCGACCATCCGACCGATGTTTTCCTCCCCAGTGCGAAGATTGGTCTCAACAAGATCACCGGCCTAAACCGCCGTATCTTTTCGAGAAGGGATCTAGTAGACCAATCCCCAAGTGTGTACTCTATGGAGTTTGGACCCAAGGGTGGTTACCAGTTGGTATGGAACTCATCGGTAGAATACTGGTCTAGCGGCGAATGGAACGGCCGGTACTTCAGCAGGATACCGGAGATGGTAGTCAAGTCACCCCATTATACCCCATTCATTTTCCAAATCGAATATGTGAACAATGATCAAGAGGTGTACTTCACATACCGCATACACGATGAAACCATACCACTGTACACCGTGCTAGAAGTAACTGGGCAAAGAAAGGCCTTGGCCTGGTTAAATGACACACAGGGTTGGCAAGCAGTCTTCACCCATCCAAATGATCAGTGTGAAGTTGCTGCTACCTGTGGGCCTTTCACAATCTGCAATGACAACACATTTCCATCTTGTAGCTGCATGGAAGGCTTCTCCATAGAATCACCTGACAGCTGGGAACTAGGAGACAGAACAGGTGGGTGCAGGAGGAACATTCCATTAGATTGTGTTAGCAGCAGAAGTGACATCTTCAACGCTGTACCGGCCACTAGATTGCCCTACAATGCCCATGCCGTAGAATCCGTCACGACTGCGGGCGAATGCGAGAGTATTTGCCTTGGCAAGTGCTCTTGCACGGCATATTCATTTGGTAATTACAATGGTTGCTCCATATGGCATGGTAAATTGGTTAATGTGAAACAACAAACTGATGACAGCACCTCTGCTAATGGAGAAACACTTCACATTCGCCTTGCTGCTAGAGAGCTTCAAGCTAGAAAAAGCAATAAAGGGTTAGTTGTAGGGGTTGTTGTATCTGCAAGCCTCTCTGCTTTGGGTATCTTAACACTTGTCTTGCTACTGATCATGATCAGGAGGCACAGAAAGAAGTTGCACTGTCAAGCATTGAACAGCATTTATGCTGGTACTGGAGTTATACCATTCAGATATAGTGATTTGCAACGTGCAACTAAAAATTTTTCGGAGCAAATTGGGGCAGGTGGTTTTGGTTCTGTGTTCAAGGGGTTGTTAAACGGGTCAACCGCTATAGCAGTGAAAAGGCTTGTCTCCTATTGTCAAGTGGAGAAGCAATTCAGGGCTGAGGTGAGTTCCATTGGAGTCATTCATCACACCAATTTGGTCAAACTGATTGGTTTCTCTTGCAAGGGTGATGAGAGGTTGCTTGTTTACGAATACATGTCGAATGGCTCCCTTGATACTCATTTATTCAGAAGCAATAACAGTGTAACCCTGAATTGGAGTACTAGATATCAGATAGCTCTTGGAGTTGCTCGAGGACTGGCTTACTTGCACGAGAGTTGTCGAGATTGCATCATACATTGCGATATCAAGCCACAAAACATACTTCTCGATGATTTGTTCGTTCCAAAAATTGCTGACTTTGGAATGGCAAAGCTTCTAGGAAGGGATTTTAGTCGGGTTATGACTACAGCAAGAGGAACTATTGGATATCTAGCACCTGAATGGTTTAGCGGAGTGGCTGTCACGCCAAAAGTTGATGTGTATGCTTATGGAATGGTACTCTTGGAAATTATATCTGGAAAGATGAACTCGCATAGAGAGTCTAATAGTTATGCTGATCACATCGTTTGTTTCCCTCTTGAAGTTGCACATAAGCTTCTTGAGGGGGATGTTCTAAGCTTGGTTGATGGCAAATTAAATGGCGATGTCAATGTCGAGGAGGCTGAAAGAGCTTGCAAGCTTGCATGTTGGTGCATTCAAGAGAATGAACTTGACCGGCCGACAATGGGTAAGGTGGTCCAAATTCTTGAAGGTCTACTCGAACTTGATTTGCCCCCGATGCCAAGGCTACTTCAGTCTATAGTACAGAGCTCATGGAAAACAGAGACCCAACACTGATTTGTAATGCCAAAAGAAGTGCTAGGATAAAATAATGTCTTTCCATGGCTTTTTTGTGGCATATGTTGGTATGAAGAGAGTTTTAGCTTGTAATGCCTTGTGTGCTATGTTGATGATTTTGGACATGTTGTGCCATAAGATGTTATATGCTCCGTTTATAAACACGCAGTTACAAGTGTACACAATTTGCTTTATTTGTTTTGCTATATATAATGATGCGCATGAATGATGTGAAATATTTTTCGGTCGACCCGGCAAATAAATGATGTGAAATACATATTTACTCTAGGCCTCTAGCTTAATAAAAAATATTCCGCAGCAAACACAGAGCCATAAGCCTTATCAGCCTTGCATGGAGACAATGCTAGTTTCAGGGACCTTTCAGAATTCTGGTATTGTACTAGGAAATATTACTCTCTTGAGTCATAAATATACTCTGTTTGTACTAGGAAACTTTCAGAGCATGTCATTTGATTTTTTTTAGCTTTTCTCAAGAAAGAATGTTGTAGGTTTTAAAAATACTACTTTGACCACAATTTTATACTCCCTCCGACCCAAAATAAGTGCAGTTTTACACTATTCATGACCAATATTTGACCGTTCGTCTTATTTGAAAATTTTAAATGAGTATTATTTTTTTTATTATTAGATGATAAAACATGAATAGTACTTTATGTGTGACTAATTTTTTTTATTTTTTTTCATAATTTTCAAATAAGACGGACAGTGATCAAACGTTTGGACACAGATATTCACGGCTGTACTTATTTGGGACGGATGTAGTACCATATTACAAAAGTTTGTAATTAAAATATTGCAAGTTTATAGTATAATCTTCTAAGGTAAATCTACCTATAACATTTTTTATGTTTTTAAACTAAGCACTTTTTAAAAATAAAAGTTTGCAATGTTGATCTAATCAATGATAGGCGATGTACCCGTCGACAACAACAAGGTGCCCGTGATGACTTCGTCAATCTCAGATATGCTGGCTTAGTTTTTCGGAGATACACATAGAGATAGAGTGTGCATGTATACGTTTATAGGAGGTGAGTGTGTGTATGTTGCGAGCGTCTGACGTTTGTATTGTGTTTCTCAGAAAAAAAAAATATGCCAGCTAACCAAAACACTCTACCGCGTAAAAATTAGAGTGCATGTGGCTGCCGTTCTCCCCGGTCTTGTAGCGTTCATGTGTTCCATGCTTTCCATGATCGATACATCGATTCAAACTAAGCTAGTTAGAGATGGTACGGTTTTTGTCACGCCCTGAAGTTCCCCTCCCTTGCTCTAAATTCATAAAATAAATCGTCCGAAGAAATTGTTTAATTTAACCTAGAGAGAAACCCTAAAGTAATAAATGCAAATAATAATCGGAATCGGCATGTGGAATTTTTCTTGGGTTCTACATGTCAAAATACGCTAACAGGATTTTTAGTGGAATTTTCAGAGCCTTGGAAATAATTTTAACCAATTAAAATAAGCAAAGTGCAATATTAAATCCCTGGGAAAATCCTTTTTTCCTTTTTATCTTTCCTTTTTCCCCCTCTTTTTCCTCCTTTGGGCCGCCGGCCCATCTCTCCCGCCCCCTCCCGAAGTCCAGGTCGCCTCCCCCTCACTCCCTCGGGCGCTGACAGGTGGGGCCCACCTGTCAGCCCTTTCCCTAACCTCCGGCAGCCGCCACCATCCGCCGCCGAAACCGCCGCCCACGCCGCCGCTTCCTCCGCCTTCCGCGTCCCGGGCCACGTCGCCCACTTTCCCCGCGCGCCCCGCCCTCCCCGCGCCCACGCCCCACTCCCGCTCACCCCCCGCGCCCGCGAGATGGCCGGGATTCAAATTTGAATCCCGCCTCTCTCTCTCTCCTCCTCCACCTCCTCCACTACTCCGGCGAAATTGCGCCGTTCCCGGCCACGACTCGCCGCCCCCTCTCCCCTTATTTAAGCATCGCCGGCACCCCCTCTCTCTTTTTCCCCATTTCGCCGACCCCTCCCGTGCTCCCCATCGTCCCCGCGCCGTGCAACCACCCACCGCCGCTTCTTCCCGCTACTCCGGCCGCCGCTAGCCGTCGCTAGGCTCGCCGCCGTCTTGCGCCGTCGCCGCCGTTCGATTCGCGTGGCCGAGATCCACCCCGTCCACCCCTCCTCCGTCGAAGTTCGTCGCCGGAGCCCTCATCCCCTCGCGCACGGGTGAGCACCACCTCCACCGCCGCCGTCGGCCATGGTTTCCGATCGCCGTGGTCCATCTCCCTCTCTCTAACCCCTCCCAACCTTTTCTCTAGGTCCTCCCGGAGCCCGTCGCCGTCGTCCTCCCGTCTCTCATCGTTGCTGTTCGCCGTCGCTCCTCCCTCGCGCCGGCCGAGCCCCTCGGTGAGGATCGGTCTCCCTCTCTTCCTCTCTCTCCCTTTGCCGCGCCGCCCGCCGCGTAGCGTCGCCGCTAGGGTCGCTCGCGCCGCCGCTTCGGCCGCCGCCGCCGTCTTTGCGCCGTCTGCCGCCGCCTCCCGTCGCCGGTTGCCGTCGCTGGCAACCGTGCGCGCGCGCCGCCGCCCTCGCCATAACCGGCCGGCCGGCTTGAAGCCGAGCCGAGCCAGGCCGCCTTCCTCCTTTCCCCGTGAACCGCCGCCCGGTGGGCCCCGCTTGCCAGCCGCGCCCCTCCCGCCTTGTGCCACTGCCCGGTGGGTCCCGCCTGCCAGCCGCCCCTCTCCCTCTCTTAGTGTCACTGACCCGTGGGTCCCGCATGTCGGCGCCGCCCCACCCCTTGGATGACGTCAGCCCTGGGGCAATATTGCGCAATAAATTGATTAAGGGTTTTTCTTTATTAGTAAAAACACAGATAATCTTCTAAAAATCATAACTAATTCATCCGAGCTCCGATTAAGTCCATTCAAGTCTCAGTAAATTCATAAAAATGTGTAGAATCCATTAAAAATGGCTTTGTTATCTGTTTCAGTAGTCTTATAGCATGTTTTGCTTGTGTGCTTTGTTTGTCGCGTAGATTTCGGCCGTTTCGTCGATCCGTGGTTTCTCGAAGACGTTGCTGTGGTTCCATCAGTGCGAGAGCAAGGCAAGTCATACATTGCAATTGATCATATTGTACCTAATTTACAAATGTCCCGCATTTCTATTAAATATTGCATTGTTTTACCATATCATGTGGGATGGGTCCTATTACTCAGCTATATGTTGTTTCCCTTATGCCATTGATAACTTGGGTATTAAAATGACTAGATGTTGGTTTAGGAGATGCTTAGCCATGCTTAGTTCAACTAGTGCATAAAAGGGGACAACATTAAAGCATAGACTTGATTATTGGCAATAGCTTTGGATTAGTGCCACCGCAATGGTGTTGGCTAATTAAAATACATTACCTGGTGGGCTGTGGGTGCATGGTTTTGCTAGACGTGCCCATGGCGATTAAGGACCGGTTCGCGGGATGCCCTGGAAGAATTTATCGTACTTACCACAAGCCAGCGTGGGCAACGGCTGGGCTTGTAGTGTAGCTTTTCTCTAGCCGACGTACCCAGGCGAGGGTGGGCGTGATGGAGTTGGGTCGGCCGGGGTGTCCGGTTGATCGGCTGCCGGATTCACCGCGGCACGAAAGGGGGGCTGCCCGTTGCCTGCTGGGGACGGGGGCGAACCCTAAGGTGTGGTGCGATCGGTTAGAGGGGGTTATGCGAAGGGTCCTGTCACGGCCTCTTTCCGGTATGTCGTGGTGGCATGTCGGCGCACGGGAACGTGTCGTGGGGCTGTGTCTTGTGGGTACAGTTGTACACCTCTGATCAGAGTAAAACTATTCGAATAGCCGTGCCCGCGGTTATGGGCGGTCGACCAGATTCACCGTGATTAGTTTCACCCTAGTTAGCTTTTGGAACTGGTTAGTTCAGGTGGTGGTTTGGGCCTGTTGCAACGTGGTGTAACGTTGGACAGTGATTGGTTAATATGGATTAATTACTACAACTGTTTTACTGCTTTCAACTACTGCTTTGAAATGCCGGCTTTATGCAAAAGAACCTTTAGCCTCCCTTGGATATATCTTGCATCATACCTCCTCTTCCGGTATGACTTGCTGAGTACAGTGGGTAGTACTCAGTCTTGCTCTCTTTTCCCCCACACCAGAGTTGAAGTCCTTCTCAGTTGAAGATGTCTCGAAGAGGTTGGTTTCGTCGCTGCCATCAAGGATGCCTGTGGAATGGAGTCGCCCACTGCAGGAGTCAAGTCTTCAGGCTTAGCTCGCTTTTCTCTTTTTCCGCTGCATTTGTAATCTTTTATATTTTTGTAAGACGTGGATCTGTATGTCAACAATTGTCGTTTGTGTACCCTGGCTGGTCCTGGACAGGGGTTTAATGCACATTCAGCTTAGAAATTCTGGTTCGTGAATTTCTGGGCGTGACAAGTTGGTATCAGAGCCGACCTTGACCGTAGGACAAGCCAAATGGAAAAACCTAAGAGCCCTCTGAATCCTTTTCATTGCATATATTCTTTGCAATTGGATTTGTTTCGGGAAAAATTTGGGGTTTTGCCTCTTTGGTTTGTGGGAAAAATCTTGGTCGTTCATTCGGATCGGATCCTTAAAATTAGCTCGGTCTAGGGTTTTAGAAAAATTTTATTTGGAGTTATATTTGATAGTCAGTTGGGAATTTATCGGGTGATATGCATTAGGTCGTGTCTATGTTCGATGGGGCAATTTTATGCGCATCATTTTCCATGCAACTAGTTTATGCATTAAGCTATGGTTTAGTCAGTCGCATTAGTGTCTTTATCCGGGTTCATGAAAAATGTTCTATGCATAAAAATCATCATGCTCGGCAAGTTACTTGAGTCATTTGTTGCTTTATTTAATTTGGTTTTGAGCATGTGTTGGTTCCTATCCCTCTGTACTCTTTAGATGTCAGACCTATTCTCCGATCGCAAGCGCCGCTCCAAGCTTCAGAGTCGCCGCCCTTAGCTTTATCGTCTTCTTAGTCTGTTTGCGTGCTAGTTTTTGTGTTTAGGTTTGTTGCTTGTGGGTTAGTCGGCGGTCGATATCATGTGTGAGTGGTATGACAGCCTTTATTAGGAGTTGTGTGCCTCTTTTTCAGTGTTTTAATCAAGATTAAGATAATGGCACTTAATCTTATAAGAAAGATTAGTTTCCGAGCCGTCTGTTTTCTTCCTTTCTCTTATTTCTACCTATCCTCCTCCAGATGGTGAAGACAAGGAAT